CTGGCAGGGGCCCCGGGTGGCAAATGCTGCAGCGGCAGGGACCGTCCTGCTGCTGTCTGTGATTGGGGGAGGGGGGTATTGTCTGTGCAATCCCAGGTGGGGGTGGATGCACAGGCCAGCAGCCCTCTGTGGGTGCAGCAGCAGCCCCTTTGCTCATGAGAGAGCATCTGTTTGCCCGGGTGGGGCAGTCTGTGCACCCGTGAGGATCTCCCCTGCTGGGCAGGAGCCCTGCGGCCTGGGCGGATTGGATGGGATGATGGGAAGGTGCCTGGCACGAGGCTCCTTCCAGAGCTGGGACCCAGAGTGAAGATTCCAGCCTCTTGCCCAGCAGGGCAGGGGTGGGTAGTATTGGCATGCTTGGTAGCCTCGGTAGAAGATGCTAAACTGGCCACCCAATGTACCTGGCCTACAGCATGATGCTGCTCATGGGTAGGAGAGTCTCTTTGCTGCTGTGCCCGGCCATGGGTCACGGATTAGCCACAGGGCTGGGAATCTCTTGCCCCGTGCCCATCGCTCGGGGCAGTGTCACCTCTGGGTTTTGTCTCCGGTTGCTTTCAGGCTGGCCAAGCGGCTCTATTGCCCCGCCGGGAAGAGAGACACCATCTTCGCTCTGTCTTCGGGCCACGGGAAATGCGGAGTGGCCGTGATCCGGACCAGCGGCCCCGCCAGCGGGACGGCCCTGCGGCGTCTAACCGGGCAGCAGGAACTGCCACGGCCTAGAGCCGTCACCTTGCGGAGGATCCGCGACCCCAGCTCTGCGGAGACCCTGGACAGGGGCCTGGTCATCTGGTTCCCAGGTTAGAACTGATACCTGCAGCATCCACCCTTGTACACAGGGCCTTTTGGGCACGTTACCCGCACAAATTTCTCTATCCCTTCCACACTGTAGGGACACACACCTTTACCCAGTTCCTAGGACTCAAGGTGCAACCCTGTTAATTTATACATCCACCCTTACCCAATTCCTAGGGCTCAGGGGGCATCTTCCTGTGGGTTTTGCTGGATCTTTAGCCACTGAAAGAGCCTCACAGTAATATCCTTATCCTCTATTTATTGACAATTCTCAAACAAGCAGAATACACATGCTAAGCACGCAGCGTCATGCTCACCAATGCGGGTGCAGGCAGACTTCCCCTGTTGGCCAGGCAATATCAGCCTCTCTGGTCTTAGGCTGTCTTTCGTTGGTGAGTTCTTCTTTCCAGGTCTTCCCCCTCCTCCTGGTCTTCTTCCATCCTTTTCTTCCTTCTGTTACTTCTGATCTGCTTTCTGATCTCCTTCTTGGACCCCAGTTATATAATGAAATCTGAGTCTTGCTTAGCTAGACCTTAACCAATTATTTTAGTATAATTTTACTAACCAATCATAACAAAATTACCTAACCAATCACACCCCACCACCTTAATGGACTTACACCTAGCAAAATTAATTAGACAACAGACAGAAACAGTTACAAACCAGACAGAGATCACACAGTCAAACAATAGGAAAGAATAATGACAATGAACATAGAATGATAATAGAGATGTAGCCGTGTTAGTCTGGTCTAGCTGAAACAAAAAACAGGATGATGTAGCACTTTAATAAACCATCTTGTTAGTCTTTAAGTGATGAGCTTTCGTGGGCCAGAAGTGGGTCTGGCCCACGAAAGCTCATCACCTAATAAACCATCTTGTTAGTCTTTAAAGTGCTGCATAGTCCTGTTTTTTGTTTCACCATAGAATGAGGATTCCACAACCTTCTCTATTGATAAGCAGTTTCTTGCCAGACAGAATGGTGGGACTTAAGTTTTCTTTACCCATCTTGGGATCTGTTTCTTTATCTGGTGATAGTGGGGGAGTGATCAGAGCAAAGTCCCCTCCTCACAGCCTGGACCCCTCCTCAAAGTCCCCTCCTCGCAGTCCCCTCCCCACACACTTTTTAATACAATTTAGACAGAACTGTGAGTAGGAGACTCCAGGCCTTAAAGCTAATGGCTGCTGCTCTTCAGTCTGGCTGCAGAAGGCGGCTTTGGTTCAGGCCTAGTACAGGCCTTCCAACAGAAAAGCCACATTGTTACAGGCAGCTCCCACCTCGGATTCACATGGGACTGACAAGCAATGAGCTACCGGGAGATATTGAATCTGTCGCACACGGTGATGTGTGCTCTCTGGTGGCCCTCACTAGCTGGATGGGGGGAGCTGCCCCCTAATAAACCCCTGGCCCGATCAGCTTTGCCCTGCCCAGGCTGCGTTTGCTCCCGCAGCCCCTTCTAGAGCGGCTTGATCTCTCGTTCCTGTCTGCAGTTCCCAACGCTGACCCTGCACTGCGGGGGGGCCTGCAGCGAGGTGTCCAGTCTAGCCCTCTATAGGCACGTGCTTATTTACAGCCCCTCTCTCCCATAGGGATCCCTCCACCCCCACTACATGGATGGGGTTCTCAGTTGCATCCTCCTGGTCATTAAAGACCCATCTTTGCTCTCACTGCGCTGACCTCATCTGGGGCGCTCTCGGCAGCGTCTGCAGAATTGGGTCCAAAATGGAGGCCGGTCGCACAAACTAGAGACAAACTGGAGAAATGGTCTGAGGTCAATAGGATGAAGTTCTATAAGGACGAATGCAAAGTGCTCCACTTCGGAAGGAACAATCCGTTTCACCCGTACAGAACGGGAAGCGACTGTCTAGGAAGGAGTCCTGCAGAAAGGGAGCTAGGGGTCAGAGTGCACCACAAGCTAAATAGGAGTCAACCGTGGGACACTGTTGCAAAAAAAACCACACGTGATTCTAGGCTGCATGAATAGGAGTGTGGTGAGCAAGACACGGGAAGTCATTCTGCTGCTCTGCTCTGTGCTGATTAGGCCTCAGTTGGAGGATTGTGTCCAGTTCTGGGCACCACATTTCAGGAAAGATGGGGAGAAATTGGAGAAGGTCCAGAGAAGAGCAACAAAAATGATGAGAACATGAGCTGGGAGGGAAAGCTGAAAGAACTGGGCTTGTTTAGTTTGGAGAAGAGAAGACGGAGAGGGGACAGGAGAGCAGTTTTCAAGGACCTAAAAGGGTGTCACAAGGAGGAGGGAGACAAATTGTTCTCTGTGACCTCTGAGGACAGGACAAGAAGCAATGGGCTTGAATTGCAGCAAGGGAGGTTGAAGTTGGACATTAGGAAACACTTCCTAGCGGTCAGGGTAGTGAAATGCTGGAATAAATTGTGTGGGGGGGTTGTGGAATCTTTATCCCTGGAGAGATTTAAGAGCAGGTTGGACAGACGCCTGTCAGGGATGATCTAGATGGTGCTTGGTCCTGCCATGAGTGCAGGGGACTAGACATGATGAGTGCGATGACTCAATGATGCTACGTCATTATGACCATGTCTGGGCCAGGCCGGGGCGGGTCTGTCCTCCTTGCAGTGCCCGGACCCTTCGCTTGCATGTGGCATGAGGCAGGCGAGTTGGGTTTTCCACTTGTCTGATAAATCTGCCACCTCTCTCTCCACACTGGTGGTGTCTTGCCCTTTGTGTGCAAGGGAAGCAGAACTGCATAGCTCCGTGGGTCATAAGCCCCGTACTGAGAACCGCTTAGGAGGAGTTTTCCTTTAACTCCAGAGCTTTTGGGGCAGGAAGATCCCAGCTCTGTCCTTGGTGCGTCCACAAGGCTCCAAAGAGGTCATGGGTTTCTTACGGCCTTAACCAACAGCATTGCGTGCCGTGGTCTATTCTCCGTACCTCCCCCTCCTTTTCTGTGGTTGAGTACTCTGGCCTAAAAACAGGATCTTTGCTTCCTTCTCTGTTCCCCGCCTAGTCCCACAAGGCTGCCAGCGAGCGGCTGTGATATCGTGGCCCCGGGCAAAGTAAACACTCACTGCAAGTGGCACCTAGGGGCACAGAGGGGAACCTCCCAGAAAGCGCCCGGTGCCCGGGCAGAATTCCAATGAGGATGTTGTCTGAGGGCGAGTGGCTCTTCAGCAGACGCTGAAGGGCTGAGAGGTTCCCACATGCTTTTCCCAGTCGCTTTCCTGTGGCTAAATCGGGGGATAGTCAGAGCAGGGTTTGGCATCCCTGGTGATGGGAGGGGATGGGGCCGGCTGCCAGCCATACCCTAATTACTAATGAGCTAATCTATGCGGAGTTGGGATTGGATTTGCTTTCAGCAGCGGCTCTCTCCTGTGATACCACATGCCCCTCCGGGGGCAGCAGCTGTGGGGACCAGGGAGTAAAATCCCACTTAACCGGTTAAACATTACGTTTAACGGATTAATTAATTAACTAAACTGGGGTGGCGGGGCTGGAGCAGCCCCTCCCGCCAACGATCTATAAAATCAGGCCCGATGTGGAGAAAGTGAATAAGGAAAAGTTAGTGACTTGTTCCCATCACATAAGAACTAGGGTCACCAAATGAAATGAATAGGCAGCAGGTTTTAAACAAACCAAAGGCAGTATTTCTTTGCACAACGCACAGTCAACCTGTGGAACTCCTTGCCGGAGAATGCTGGGAAGGCCGGGACTTTGACGGGGTTCAAAAAAGAGGGCGATAAATCCATGGAGGTTAGGTCCATCAATACTTATTAGCCAAGCTGGACAGGAATGGTGTCCCTGGCCTCTGTTTGTCAGAGGCTGGGAGGGATCACTTGATGATTCCCTGTTCTGTTCACTTCTTCTGGGGCAGCTGGCACTGGCCACTGTCGGCAGACGGGACACTGGGCTAGATGGCCCTTTAGTCTGACCAGTATGGCCGTTCTGTTCTTATGGTAGGATGATGCCAACTGGCTAACCATTCGCATCCCTAGCTGGGTCTGACCCCGGGATTCGTGGAGCTGAGCAAGCACCCGTCTCTCTTGTCCGAGCTAGTGATCCTGCAGCTCTGCAGCCATAGACAGCTGTGCCTCGAGCGCCCTCCAGTGGGGGACAGAGCCAGGCCGTGGCGCGTGCGTGACACCCATGACTGGATTTCAGAGTCTGGGATCATCTCTGCTCTAGGAAGCCGGGCAGGGCGGGTCGCGTGTCATAGAGATGGGACCCGGGAATGGCGTGTGGGGCTCAATCGTGGCTGGATTGCAGGCCGGGATTTCGGGAACGTGGGCTGGGCTCCCAGCAGGGCCAGGGTCCCATGTAAGGGGCCGAGGGACCGGATAGCTGGACCGTTCCACTTACTGGGTGCTGGGATTTCCCAGAAACCCACCCCCAGGCCTTGGCTCTCTGACCCCCTCCCCAGGTCGGAGCTGAAGCACTAGTTGTTCCTGGTGCCTTTCTCAAGAGCAGGGCTGTTAACTCTGTTCTGCACCCCGGCTGTCGGATTCGCCTTTGCTCCCTGCCGAGCTCGCCATGGGGGCTGTCAAACCAGCTGCAGCCAGAGGTGGCTGCCTTTGAGTGGCAGGGGAAGCGATTTGTGGGCGAGGCTCTGCGTGAGGGCACCTGTCGGGCCCCGTCGGGTTCTGATCTGCAGATGGGGCTTTTAATTCCTTCCCGGCCGTCCTTCGTCTCCGCTGCCTGTCCCATCCCGGCAGCACCTTGGTCCTTACTCTGACGGGCCCGTGTCCGATCCTGACAGCGCCAGCGCGGACACGGACGGAGCTGCTTTGACGGTTAATCCTGTGCCAGCCCCGAGCGGGCGGCTCCCCCCGGGGGCCACGTGCCCTAGTGTCTGATGGGTCCTGTGCTTTGCAGGGCCCTACAGCTTCACCGGCGAGGACTGCGCCGAACTGCACGTCCATGGCGGGCCGGCGGTGGTGAGCGGCGTGCTCCAGGCCTTGGGTGAGCGTCTCCTTCCCTCCCTCTGCAAATCAGCGAGCCGGGTTCTCGGTCGCTCTGTCCCCGCTGCGCTCTGGGCTTGGAGGGGGAAGAACGGCCCAGGCAACGGGATGACTCCCTGGCTGGGGTGGAGCAGGCATCAGGGCACTGCCCAGGCGACAGGCCATGCTGAGGAGTGGCCAGAGCTTACCAGAGCTTGTTTTTGTGTAGAGGATGTGCAAGAGGAGCTGAGTGTATGCTAGAGTCAACCTGTGGAACTCCTTGCCAGAGGATGTGGTGAAGGCTAGAACTTAACCAAAAAGAGCTCGATATTTCTGGAGTTTCGTTCCATCGATGGCTATTAGCCAGGATGGGTAGGAACGGTGTCCCCAGCCTCTGTTTCTCTGGAAATGGGGTGACGGGGGGGATCATGTGAGGGTTCCCTGTTGTGTTCCCTGCCTCTGGGGCACCTGGCACTGGCCACTGTGGGCAGACAGGACACTGGGGTGGATGGACCGTTGGTCTGACCCAGTCGGGTCGTTCTTATGTTCTTAGAGCAGCCTGGAGGCTCGCCAGGCAGCAGGGCCTGAGTGGGGGGTCCTCTGGGGTCCCCTGTGGCCCCTTCTCCTGGGGGGGAGCTCTCCCCCCAGAACTGCGCGAGGAGGGGTGCCCCGGGGGCCCCGCTGAGGTTTGCTGCATGTGTTTTATCCAGGGCGCCTGCCCGGCCTGCGCCCGGCCGACCCCGGCGAGTTCACCAAGCGGGCGTTCCAGAACGGCAAGCTGGGCCTGACCGAGGTGGAGGGGCTGGGCGACCTCATCCACGCCGAGACGGAGGCCCAGAGGCGGCAGGCCCTGCGGCAGATGGAGGGGGAGCTGGAGCAGCTGTACCAGCTCTGGAGCGACGCACTCACCAAGGCAAGCGCCCCGTGTCCCCGGCCCCGAACGCCTGGGCTGGGAGCAGAGGGAGGGAAGGGGGGGACCCCGGCCTCTCATCCTGACTCCGACTGAGTCGCTCCATCCCTGTGGGCCTTGGTTCCCATGGTAACCGGGGTGCCGGTACCAGCCCTCCTTTGCCACGTGCTTGGAGCTCCTTGGGGGGCCGAGGGGTTAAATAGTTTTGCCCTGCCTGGTATTACCCCGTCCCCAAGCTCTGCCTTTGGCTGCACCCCACTCCCTCCCCAGACAGAGTTAGAACCAGACCAGGCCCACCCCGAGCTGGAGGGACCGAACTCCGCAGACCGAGGGGGGATGTGGACCTGGCCTCCCAGGAGCTCGGGTCTGCCCGTCGCTGCTGATCAGGGAGGGGAGCAAAGGTTGAGCCCGAATCCTGCAGTCGGAGCCTGGGTGCGGGAGTCTGACCGGACAGCAGGATCGGGGCCGTCCTTCGTGACGGGCCTTCCCCTTGTCTGCCCCTCAGGCCCTGGCCCACCTAGAAGCCTTTATCGACTTCAGCGAAGAGGACAATCTAGAGGAGGGCATGCTGGCTGAAGGTGAGCGGTGCTGGCAGCATCCCCCGGGCCGAGGCCATCCGTGCCTTGCACGAGGGTGACGCAGGGGCACGAGGCTGCTAGGGCTGCGTTCCCATAGTGGCAGAGGGAAGAGGCTTTTGTGTTGGTTTCTTTTATTAAAATCCTAGAACAGTAAAACTGGAAGGGCACTCGAGGTCACCCGGTCCCACCCCCTGCCCTCACGGCAGGACCACGCACCTGATAGTTGCCTGTCCAACCTGCTCTTCAATAGCTCCAATGACGGATCCGAGCAATTCTGGGTCAGCGCCTTTGAAAAATAGAATGACTCTTTTGTTGGGCGAACTCCCCTTGATTTCATACCGGAATCTAAACTCTGAGCCCTCGAACTGGTGGCCGATAGAGGTGCTGACCTGCTTGTGGTACGGGCTTCGGACTGGCCTGAGTTAATTCCTAGCTCTGCCACAGACTCACTGTGTGGCCCCGGGCATGTCACTTAATCTAGTCTGGGACTCCATTTCTCTCTGTGGTGCAGGAGGGGTGACCGGTCCTCCCTTTATCTTGCAGACTGAGTGCTCTGTGGGGCAGAGACTGCCTGCAGGAAGGGGACCCCACCTTGAGCAGGGTCCACACTGTGCACTTCTGTCTTTGAGGGGTTCCCGTACGGCATGAACCCTAACAGCCTGCCCAGGCAGCTGTGCCCGATCGCTGCAGGCTCGGGGCTGCTTCGGGTTTGCTTGTGTCCCTCCATTCGCACCGTGTCCCCGTGTCACTTTGCTGCTTCCCTCCCTGCGCTCCGGGATGCCGACTCGTGACCCGGTCTCAGTGGACGCGGCCGTGCGGCGGCTGGAGGAGGAGGTGAGGGGACACCTGCAGGACGGGCGGCGCGGGGAGCGGCTGCGCGGGGGAGTCCACGTGGTGATCGCCGGCCCCACCAACGCCGGCAAAAGCAGCCTGCTCAACCTCCTGTGTGAGTCGGGGGCGGGGGGGGGTCCATCCGCAGCGCCCAG